GGTGTTTGCGTTTTTTCGGCGTTTGCGTTTGACAGCGGGCGGCCGTTTTTGCGTTTTTGGTGGTGTTTGCGTTTGGCGGCGGGTGACCGTTTTTTTTTTCGCGGCGTTGGTGTACTTGGCGTTTTTTAGGGGCTAGCTTACCCTGAGAACGAGCCGACGTGAGTGGTTTCGGCCACTGACAGCCAACTGGGGAGAACAAACGGTGAGTGGGGCGCGGGCAACGGGGGCCTAATCAACTCATAGCGGCGACGCGGCTATGGAAGGTTAGGACCCTGCCATGGCGCCACCGAACGTGACCGTGGCTAATCGCCCCGTCGACGGACGCAGGGCAGACCCGGGAGGGGTGTCTGGAAGGGGCGCGGGGACGGGCGGGCCGTCGACGGAAAGTGGCGCGCTCACCAGTCATCGACAGCGACGGACGGCGAACGGAGCGAAACGCGAGAGGAAAGTCTCCCACCCACCCTCACCGATGTCTCAGATTAGACCATATTATTTCCACGATTGATAAGAATAACCATACCGAACCGAACATAGGTAGTCCACACTATACCTCGTCGTTACTACTCCGCCGGCCGTTTTTTAGGGGCTAGCTTACCCTGAGAACGAGCCGACGTGAGTGGTTTCGGCCACTGACAGCCAACTGGGGAGAACAAACGGTGAGTGGGGCGCGGGCAACGGGGGCCTAATTAGCGGTTAGCGGCGGGCGTGCGTGCGTTGCGGGCGTTTTTTTGCGGCGGTGTTTGCGTTTTTGCGGTTTTTGTGTTTGGCGGCGGGCGGGCGGGCGATGCGGGTGTTTTTGCGGTGTTTGCGTTTGGCGGCGGGCGGCCGTTTTAGCGGCGGTTTGCGGTGGGCGGCCGTTTTTTTGCGGCGTTTTGCGGTTTGCGGCGGGCGGTCGTTTTTTTGCGGCGTTTTGCGGTTTGCGGCGGGCGGCCGTTTTTTGCGGCGTTTTTTGTGTTTTGCGGCGGTCGGCCATTTTTTGCGGCGTTTTGCGGTTGCCGGCGGCCGGGCGTTATTTGCGTTGTTGCGGTTTGCGGCGGGCGGCCGTTTTTGCGGCGTTTTGCCGTTGGCGGCGGGCGATGCGGGCGTTTTTTGTGGCGGCGGTGTTTGCGTTTTTTGCGGTGGTTGCGTTTTGCGGCGGACGGGCGTTTTTTGCGGCGTTTTTTGCGTTTTTTTCTGCGGTTTTAGGGGTATCCGAAGGTTGGGACTTTTCAATTACGGCCGTTTTTTTTGCGGCGTTTCGCCGTTGGCGGCGGGCGATGCGAGCGTTTTTTTTTGTGGCGGCGGTGTTTGCGTTTTTGCGGTGTTTGCGTTTTGCGGCGGAGGGCGTTTTTTTGCGGCGTTTTTTGCGTTTTTCTGCGGTTTTCGGCGGGCGGGTATCCGAAGGTTGGGACTTTTCAATTAGACAATCACTATTCTTTAGAATTGTGATTTTCTATTGAAAATCCCAACCTGAGCTACCTCTCTAGGGGGGTGTTTAGCGTTTCTGCCGCGATTTTGGACATCTTGATAGGGAAGAAAACGGCACGGTAGAATTTCTTGCCATTTTCAGCGTTTGGTCCCGTATCGGGGAGCTACCGGCTGGCATCGGTCGCTTGAAATATAATTAACCCGTTTGGGGGTAATCGGCACGTGCATTTTCCCATAGGGTTAACATGGGGAAAAATTGGAAATTCGATTTGCGAAAAATTTCGTCAATTATATTTGCTGATTTTTTTAGGGTCGGATCTAGGGCTGGCACCTCAACTTTTGGTGTTAATTATTTAAAAATCATAGGGTACAATTTCGGGTAATCTTGACGGACAGTTACCCCATGTTGAGCCTATGGCGAATTCGAAAAATAATTTTCAAATCGATTTTGCCAAAAATTTCCACGTTAGATTTTGAAAATGTTCCAATATGTTGTGCCCCGGGGTGTCGGCTACCACATGGTATGGGTCAGATATGGGGCGATTGAAAAGCACGTGCCACGTGCAAACGTATTTGATGGGGGAACCTCGTGGTAAATGCGACATTGGCCAACTGGGGGTCCTATGGCGTGGAAACGACTCCACCCAGCGACACCAAATCAGTGCAGCCGGTGAGCAGATGAGTCCAGCTTGTCGCACCAGTGGTCACGTGGCGCACGTGCTATTGCACGTGCCGTGGCACGGGGTCAATTTTGGTGCTTAAATATACTAGCATTGTGAAATGCAAGGAATGGGGGAAATACCCGTGAGGCCGTCAGTTTTTTTTGATAGGGTCAATCTGAAAAAGGGTATAGGCACAGAATGAAGGGGGCTAAAAAACTGCTATCTCGGATTTTTTGTAAAATGAAAAATTCAAAATTCTGGAGAAATTATATATTTGAAAGGTGAAATTTCCCTAAATTTTCCCGTTTTTCGAGTTTAGCCGTCCACTGTTCAGAGACGGTCACACCGGCCGGGGTCATCTTTTACATGCTAATGGCCACGTCGATGGGTCATCACGTGGCGTGAACGGTGAAGCTATCAGAGGTCCGGCACGTGCCACGTGCCCACGTGTTTGAGTCGCGTACCTCCCAGATTATCGTGTGTTTGCCGATCTGTGGCGTTATAGCACGAAAACAGCACCAGTCAGGAAGCCTGAAATAGTGCAACCGGCGAGGGGACAAGTCCTGCTTACACCACCAGTGGTTACGTGGCACACGTGCGAAGATGGGCACCTACGTTGCGGAGATATTTTATAGTGAAATATTCAAATGTACATAACTTTTTCAGTTTAAGTCCGATTGGGCCAGAATTTGGTGGGTGGATGAATTGTTAAGTGACATGAACGAATGCGCCATGTTTAATGCAGTGCGCCACGTTTGTCTCAAAGCGCCATTTTTGCCGCAAAGCGCAGAATGTGCGTAACTTTGTCGAGCATTGGACGATTAGGATGCGCTGTAATTAAGAGACGGCTGCTTAAACGGCAGATATGAATGCACCACATTTGCCGCAGGGCACCATATTTGTCTTAATGCGTCAGTGTTTGCGTTTTGCCTACGGCGGGCGTTTTTTGCGGCGGTGTTTGCGTTTTTTTCGGTGTTTGCGTTTGACGGCGGCCGGCCGTTTTTGCGTTTTTGGCGGTGTTTGCGTTTGGCGGCGGGCGGCCGTTTTTTGCAGCGGTTTGCGGTTGGCGGCGGGCGTGCGTGCGTTGCGGGCGTTTTTTGCGGCGGTGTTTGCGTTTTTTGCGGTTTTTGTGTTTGGCGGCGGGCGGGCGGGCGATGCGGGTGTTTTTTATGTTTGCGTTTGGCGGCGTGCGGCCGTTTTTTGCGGCGTTTTGTGGTTTGCGGCGGGCGGCCGTTATTTGCGGTTAGCGGCGGGCGGCGGGCGGTCGTTTTTTGCGGCGTTTAGCGGTTTGCGGCGGGCGGCCGTTTTAGCGGCGGTTTGCAGCGGGCGGCCTTTTTTTGCGGCGTTTTTTGTGGTTTGCGGCGGGCGGCCGTTTTTTTGCGGCGTTTGCGGTTGACGGCGGCCGGGCGTTATTTGCGTTGTTGCTGTTTGCGGCGGGCGGGCGTTTTTTTGCGGCGTTTTTTTCTGCGGTTTTCGGCGGGCGGGCGATTGTTTTTTTTTGCGAAGTTTGCGTTTGCGTTTTGGGCGTGCGTTTTGCGGTGTTTGCGTTTGGCGGCGGGCGGGCGGTTTTTCACAATTAAAGTCCCAACCTTCGGATCCGCAGAGCTGTTCGACAAGCGCTGCCCGGGCCTATAAGGAATCTGCACTAAATCTCCAGAATCTGCACCAAATCTTTTTTACAACAGATGTGTTCATGTACAGACTTCTCTATATATAGAGAAGTATGTGGTTCATGTCATGAATTTATTTCATTGTTTTAATCGCAAATAATGCCTTATGATTTGAAAAGTGAGGCATATAAGCAGCTGTGTACTGTACTAGACGGCCGCCATGAAAACGGTTAATGTTTCATTCATCTCCACTTTTCGGACCCAAATGTCAACACAATGCATTATGCATTTACGTGTCGACTCACGATTCAAAACGTCGCATTCCAAGTGGTATCTAAAATACAGGGTCCCCTTGGAAATACACAATCAGTGATATCAGTTTGGCAGCTTACTATCGCTGTCCATCTTCAAGCATTGGCAGTTGTGCAGTAGTTCCTTAATTACATAGCTCAGTGTGGATCTGGAGAGAGCGTAGTGACAAAGTATTGCACTATATGCAAAGTTCCCTACATCCGCTTCACCCAGCACGTTACCATTGATATCGTGCCATCGTGGCGGTGTCATTAATCGTTCCCCTCGTATGGGCAACACGCCAACAGCGGGAAAACACTGCCTGAGCCTATTGACAAACACTCCATAAAGATACCTATATAGGCCGCCCTGAACCAAACAGCTGCATGTAATATCATTGAAGCATTCCCGAGAACGTTTGAGAGGCTTTCCAACACCCATGATTGATATTCATGCTTTACCTCTCTTCGTTTTCATATAATCCTTACATACATCCATAAAATGTAAGCAAATTTTTCAGAATTCTGTACTTGTACCTTTCATATACCCTGTACTTCGTGCAATATTAAATCTGTAATTCATTTTGCTAAATTCGTCCATAAATAACAACTACGTTTAAATTGTTAACGCAAGCCATCATTTTAAAGAGACCGAAAAAGGCATGTATCACAATCATCACAATACCCTCTGCAGTGAGGAACAGGCAGTTACAAATGTGACGCATGTCATGCCTTTGACGCATCGACACGATACAAACTTTAAAAGGCAAGACAACGCTTTGCAACATGCTTCCGATGTTCCTCATCAAACATGTCGTTCGAGTCGCCAGCATATGCACCGAACCGTGCACCGCCAGATGATATAAGCTCTGCAATCCTGCATGCATTTTAAGATTGTCAGATGTTCCAGTGTTAAGTATCCCGCACAGCTGCAAACAGAGCCACAACACCGTAGTGGGAGGGTCTGGATCGTTATCATCATGCTGGCCATTCCCATTTCAGCATGCCGTCTTATGGCAGCCTCAACTTACTTCCAACTGGATTTGGGCCTTAGAACATCGCTTCATGGAAATGAAGAGAGAAGCGATCAACATCCTCAGCAATTTTGTCTCTTTGTTCTGGGACATTATTTTGGCAAGATATTATACCTACGCTGCAGTGAATCAGGCATGAGCAGGCGATTTATAAAAAAAAAACATTCCGCACACAACGACGAATTTCATTTCACCAGAGTTTCAGCGAGTTACATTCGAAATGCAATTAAGCAAAGTTCATTACTGAGAACATATTTGTGCAATGCCATATCTTGCGTTAATGAATCCAGTGTTAAAGAGGATGTTACCGAATCTCGGGAATATCGTAAGGGTGGTGTGCAAGTATACCTGAATGTGTTGGACGTCCTGTTCTTCCTGCGCTCCTTGTTCTTCTTCCTCAGCTCCTTCCACTGTTTCGCCTCACCCCGCTCGACGTCCGCCGCGTCCGAGCGTTTCCGGCGGATCCGCACATTGGCCGCCGCGGCCACGTCCTCCTCGAAGGTGACGTGCTTGCCGTTCTTTTCGTCGCTGCCCTCCGTCGGCTTGTTGTCATTCTCGGTCGCCGCGCCGCGCTCGGCCTCCGTCTCGGGCGCCAGCTCCACGTGTGAGAGCACCTTCGGGCCGCTGGCGTACGTGTAGACGAGCGAGACTCGACTGGGCGGCCGCCGCTGCGACTCCGAGTCGGGTCGCGACTGGGCGGGCTCCGGCGCCGCCTTATCGTTGTCTGAGAAGACCGAGTCGCGCTCCACGGCGCTGTCTGCCGCCTCCTGTTCCTGCTGGGCGTCCGGGGAGCCATCATCGCCACCATTGGGCAGCTGCTGTTCGACGTAGGGAGACACGCTGCGCGGCCCCACCCAGTCGGAGTCGGGCCCGTCGCCGGCAGCCGAGTCCACCGCCCGGTCCTCACTGGAGCCGCCCACGGCCGAGTCGCGCTCCTCGTCCGGCCCACCGTCGCGCGTCCGATCGCGCTCATCATCCGTCTCGTAGCCGTCCCCGTGGTGCCGCTCGGACGTCTGATCGCCGGCGTCGGCGTCCGGGGTAGAGGCGTCCTCAGCACCTTCAGAGTGCCTCGAGTCTGGGCGAGCCTCGGCGTCCTCACCATCGACAGCAGCGCTAGAGTTCACCCGAACATCATCGCTTGATTCAGGTCCTGGGTTATTGTTCTCGTTTTCAAGGTTGGCAGTTTGTTCATCTTCCTTCTCGTCGGTTTCATTTTCCCCTACTCCCTCTTCACTTGGCTCATTTGGCTGACCGCCTTCCTCATGAGCTTCATCAGACCCTTTCGCTTGTTCCTCTTCAGATAATTTTCTGACATTCTCTTCATAGCTCATCCTTTCTTCGTTGTGCGTTTCCGGAGAGTCTCTGTCCGCCTCGTCCAGGGAGTGGTTCCCGTCATCCTCTTCTGCGACGTCACCATCGCTCCTGTGTCTGCTTTCATGCAGCATCGCACTCTCCTCTTCGCCCGTATGAAGTGGCTCCTGTTGTTCCTCGTTTTCTTCGGCCCTGTAGCCAGAGTCGCCGAGCCCGTCACCAGGGGAATCCGCGGCATTTTCTTCATCTGGCGCAGTCGAGCCAATCCCTTCGGGTACATCATCGCTATCCATTTCATCAGTGGCATCACCATCTTCAGTGTCGTCGGCAGGATCGTTGTCAGAGAACACCTCGGCATTTTCGCCGTCTGGGACACCATCCTCTTCTTCTTTTTGTTTTCTTACTTGCTCTTCCCATTTTCTTTGCTTTTTCTCTCTGACTCGCTGCTTCCTCCAAAACCTGTTTTCCCGTTGCTGATTCCTATCGAGTCGAATAACCTTTGGGTGAGTACCAGCATTCATCTCGGGGAGATTGTGCACATCACCACTGGGTAGAGTGTCTATGTTATGGGCTGAAATAGCATCAACGCTTTTCAAGCTAGCAGAGTCCGTCAGCATGAGCATTTTGAAACGAGGAGCAGCACAGCTCCAAACAAACAACAGCGATGAATATGCGTGCTACACACTAAGCAACAGTCAATCACAGTGATGCAGTACGTCTTGCTTGCGTTCATCAAGCCCTCGTTGAAGCGACGCGAACAGCCATTGTCCCGTATTTAAGTGCACCGCACCAATTCCACTGAACGGTTATCTTCTTGCAACACCTTCGCGGCTTCTTTTCGGCACCTAGCCGAATCCGTTGATCACCGAGCACCTTCAGACGGCCGCTGGCCCCAGGCCGGCCGCGGTGTCTGTCCGGCAGGTGCTCGAGGTCGGCGGTCCACCGGCCGGCCTTGCCTCGTCCGATCGGTCGATGGCAGACGGAGCGCTGATCGATCTCTCGATGGCAGCCGATCGGATCGGCGACGTCCACCGCTCGGCGAATCTCGGCTCAGCTCGGGTGGCTGCGACCGCGGCTGAGAGGCGGGCGGCGGCGGCGGCGGCGCAGCGAGGGGTGCGGCGCCCGGCGGCGCCCGGCGGCGGCCTGGCGCGACCGTCCGTTGTGCGCCGGTTACCTAGGCGGCGGCTGACGTCAGTCGCGCAGGTCACACGCCCGCCGGCCCCGGTCAGATCGTTAGTGGCCGGCCGGACACCGGCGCACGCCGCCCTGGCCACGCCACTGGCACGTCGCTGCCGTCGACGACGTGCTCGATTATCGCACATGAGCCAAAAACACGCCAACAACTGTCTCCGACTCCTAATGGCCCAACTTATGGCCCACAATGCGCCTGACCATTATGTCAAACATTAATCTGTTTGTCCTCACCCATTTCGCTAACTGAACACATCTGGTAAACTGCGTGCCTGAGTGAGTCTACTTTATGCGTTCACGTGCAGTATTATGGACGAGAAAAACACGTCTCCGATGTCTACAGTTTATTCATATGAACAGAAAAGTTGTTCAACAATGAAACACAGCAAAGTTATTTTACAAACAATGGAGACCCACTGCCCACTTAAACTAGGCCCACTGTCCTAGTTTAAAGGGACCCTCGTCCCTCCCACCTTAACCCGCGCCGGGCCGGTGCTCTGAGATTCCACGCCGGGCCGCGGGGGGTGTTTGAACACCCCCCTTCTAACTCGGCTCCTGGGCCACGTAGCGACACGCGGTAAGCGGCAATCGAAAGAACGTCAAAAATAAGGACGAAAACACTTAGGTCATTTTTTGGGTCAGGTCAAAGGTCAGGTCACTAGAGGTCACCAAAGGTAAAATGTTGACTATTTCAACATTTTGGAAACTGCTAACGGCTATCTCGGGAACCGATAGAGCTACAGCGCCGCAAAAAAGCGCATTCGATAGCCCTTTTACAGACCTTTCTGAATAATGTTCTCAGATTTGACCTCAGGTCAACGGTTTAGCCTCCAGATGGCAAAAACTCCAAAAATAGCCGTTTTTACGAAAAACGTTTTTTAGGCAATAACTTTTGACTCAAAAGAGCTATGACATTACTTTTGCCAGCATCGTGTTCCTCTCGTCGAGACGCGTCGAATGAACTATAATTTGACCTTGAAAGGTCAACTTGAAAATTTGACCTCAGGTCAAGGTCATGACCTGACCGGAAAAGGTCATGTTGCATATCAGTCGATCCGCAACGTCGAGCCGAACACATCTAAGGCGTTTTCAGCGCTCTAGCACGCCTCTATCAGAAGTTATAATCGAAAAACTGTTAGATTCTGTTCGTGACCTGAGATGACCTCGGGGACATAACGAGGGGTCACAGTTGCCATTTTATGGTTCAGTGTGTCTATTTTACCCACATCTCGATGTTTGAGCGTGTCTAGAATAGCGTTCGTGCAAAACAGACGCTTTTCAATTTTCTCCCATTGACTTATAATGGAGAGGCCGCAAAATTGACCTGACCTTAGGTCACCGATATCAAAATTCCGAGATATACATTTTATAGATAGTGTTGCTCTAATCAATCGCTGAAAGGTTCAAGGCAATCGTTGAGTCGGTGTAGCTATGACGAGCATTCTTATTTTTTCTGAGGTGAGGTCACTTGGCGTGACCTGGTGACCTGACCTAAGGTGACCTGGGTCTGAAATTTTCACAACATGTGCGGAAAAGATGCACGAACAGGTGTGCCAAAAACGGCGGCGCTCCGCGCCGCCGTTTTTGAGATATCTGCGAAAAACCGCAAGGGGGGGTGTTCAAACACCCCCCCCCCCGGCCCGGCGCGGGTTAACATTAGATTTGAGTTGAGATAGCCAAAATGGGGTCCCTGGCTCACAATTACCGGTTTCGGCACTCACAACATCGAGAAATGCCTTAAATCGGAAATATTGAATTTCAAAATTGCAGCATTTTGATTCAGAGGGGCTAATGCATAGGAATACCCCTCTGAATGTGTGACGTCAGCGTAGATATCTAGCGATTTTTAAATGTTTGACTAAAACGTTTTGTAGCACGCGGTGATATATGCTGCTTTGCGCGCAACAAGTGTCGCACTTTCAGCTGCCAAACTATTGCTTCCAAATAAAGTCGCTAGGAATAGCGGAGATCTCAAAAAGTAAACAAAAGTAAAAGTCTAATATCTTGAAAACCGGTGAATATTTTTCGGTGAAATTTGGTAGATATTCGTTTTCGCTCTTTCTGAACCGAGCGACATCACTTTCATGCCAATTCATAAACTTTTTTGAAGGTGGGAGGGTCCCTTTAAGCCCGCGCTCGACTGGGGTATTTTTCATGACGCGAGTTACTGAGGGGCCCTCCCATCTCTGAAACTACTGGACTGATTTTCAAAATTCAAACAGCATTCGATAACCTTGGAAAACTTGTTGAAATGAAACCTAATTTCTTTGATTTCAAGATCACCAATAACGTCACATCATCAGTCAGGTCATAACGTCAGCTAGGTCAAAGAAAAAACATCGACATTTAGGCATGCTTACTCTTCGGGCTCTGGCCGCCGCCATTAAAGGCCTAAAGGGACCCTCCCACCTTCAAAAAAAAGTTAAAGGGACTATCCCACCTTCAAAAAAGTCCCGTTTAGGATTCGGAAATGTTACTCATGATATTGTGACGAATTCTGCAAGTTTTTACGCGTTTTCATCGTATACGTTTTGAGATATTGCGACTTTTATATTTCATCGTGACGTCATTTAGATCGGATCTGCGACGTAATGAAGGATTTACTTCATGTCAGTGTGGGGGAAATTTTGCAGCAAATATAGGTATTTGCTCTCAAATATGACTCGGCTCATACAATAACAAAAGTGTCTCTGATTGGCTTATTCGTAAATCAAGTGATACTTCACTTGAACGGGCGTTCAAAAGGCAAATGACGTCATCAGATTACCGTCATCAGATTTTTTCCAAAAAGTCTTTGATTTTCGCAAGAACCGGAACATATGTACACACTGATAAACTATTCTAGCAAGTTTCAGCCCGATATCTCCAAAAATAGCCAAGTTATTTGCATTATTTTCAAAATTTAACAATTACGCAGCGCTTTTTTTCAAAACCATATTTCAGTGCGTTTCTGACATCGTACAGCAATATAAATGGCACCATCGTGCTCCTGAGCTCAAACTGCATCTGATAGGTATACACCTCTTTTGTTGAAAAAAAAAATCAATTTCAAAATTTGACCTTTTCTGACCTCCGGTAAATTTCTGACCTCCGGCGGTAGACAAACAAAATAAAGCAAATGCATTTTAATAGATGACGCTGCAAGCTGGTGCTGGAAAACGGTGATGAGCTGTCCCTTGCTGCGTGCTGTGGAAGCCTTGGCTTCAAGTTATTTTTATTATTGGCCCACATTGATCCCCGTAAGAATTTAATTCATGTCTTCATAACCTTCTAACTACTAACTAGTACTTATGTGAGTTTTGCTTGGATTTTTTTCCCACCTTACTGGACTCATGAAATGGATAACAATTCGTGACCACTTCTAGAAATTGGTCGTGATACCAAATCTGTCGCCTATCTGTAGCTTTTTTATTATGATCTTGGGTTTGGCATTTCTTTTTTTCTAAGTGCCTAGTGCCTACCTACTTCCAAAAGGTCAGCGCCGCCCGTGGCCTTGTAACAAGCAATAATACACTAAACCAACGACTTATTCGGGAAAACAGACTACATTGAACCGCCACGCGCAGATCCAACTCCACGCGGGTGTTGACACATGCTGCTAACTTTTGAAAAGAAAGGAAACAGCCTTCAGGCTTTTTACTTTTTACGATTCCGCCATGTAATGTCGGACCGGCCAAAAGGGCGCCTATTTGGCAATTTGAGCACTTATCTGGTATCTTGGGTGTATCTAGAATTTTCTAACAGAGAAATTGTTCAAGCATTTGATGCCCGCCGCTGAAAGTTCCAGCTTGCTCAAGGATCAACTTTGGAGGGCCGCGATTTGAAAACCATTAGCCAAAATTTGGGTAAATGACTTCGGATTGGGGCCCCAGCCACCTTCTTCTACGTCACACTTAACAACTCTGAAATAAAAAATAGTGATGATACCACTGTTTCAGTTCTAGAATAAAAAGTCCTCATTTGTTTGCATTCTTTTCGGTGGTAACATTCTCCACTGTGACTCAGCCAACGGCAGCGGAATTTCTGGAAACACTCGCAGCCCATGAGTTGGATGTTCCACAAACAAGTGGTATTGACCGTGCATGGAACATACATGCCAACCAAGTGCAGTGTACGAAAAGACAGGATTTATTGATGTTGTCGTGGCGCGTAGGAAGGGGAAACGGAGCTGCCCAAAGATCAATACATTCCAGGGGAGCGTGGCAGGACCGGTCGCAGACTGGACAGCGTGTGAAGGTCGAACCGGCGGAGTCCTGTCTCAGAAGAGCCACAAAGTGTTCTGTATCAGCTTACAGTGACGGAACATGGACGGGCATACCTGGTCATACCTACTATACCTACATGCAACGTCATGAGGAAAACTGGGCAGTCCCATGCATGGGTGTAACTTTCGATATATGGGGGTGCAACTGCAATTGCAACCGATCCACGTAAAGTGCACTCCCATCAGGTCAAAATGCACTACCATATAGGCTCGGCGGTGACAAAATAGCCCAACAGAAGTAGGGCGCGCCATAAGAGAGATGAGAAACGCTCACAGGAAAAAGGGATACTCCCAGCAAAAATAGAACGCCCCAGGCAGAAGATGGATGCCCCAAGCAGCAGAGCTGCGCCCCAGCAGAAATGGGGTGCTCCCAATAAAAGAAAAGAAAAGCTCGTCCAGCGGAAGACAAATCTCTAAATTCCCAGCGGGGGAGGTGCGTCCCGAGCAGAGGAGGGTGGCCAGCAGATGAGAGGCATCAGGCAGCCAAGCAGATCAAGGGCACCCCAGCAGAAGACGGGCGCCCGAACAGAAATGGGGCGCCCGAGCGTTGTGAGACGATGAGTAAAACAATCGGCACCATAGTTCATTTTCTTTAAGTTTAACCGTCACTGTAAACGTCTCTTTAAACACAGCACGAGAATTACAAGCCGAATCACTGAGAAAACTGGTTCCCAAACCTATAGGAATCTTGCCCAAACCGACGAATGAAAACT